ACGGATCCTGGCTTAACCTCAGTTCGGATGACGACGGGTGGGACTCCAGGCCATTACAGAGAACAGTGGCAGCCATCTGATCGTGCAGAAGCCTACGGGACCTTCACAGATTTTTGGAGGGAAGCCAAATCTGGCCAGCACCTTCCACAGAGGGCTTAATGATTGACGGAGTCAATTGCCATAATCAAATCGATGGAGGCCGTGTACACAGTTACCGATTTTTGTTCACAACACTTTTCCTGGATTTGAGCGGACAACGAGGGCCGAGCCGGCGGTCTGAAACCGCACCGAGGTTGCGGCAGGATTTCCTCGTCAGGCAGAGGTTTTCGTTTCCATAAAAAAAGGTGTGGCCTCCACTTCACGGTGGCGAGATGTTCACGATCTCGCCTGGTATACAGGAGGTCGTGGTTTCGATCCCGACCCTGACGCCTGCTGTGTATCTGAAGTTTGCATGTTCTTGGCGTGATCGTGTGAATTTTTATCCGGGTCCTCCAGTTTTTCTCTCCACATTTGGAAACACGCGGTTATATTGTGTTTATATTGTGTTTATATTGTGTTTATATTGTGTTTATATTGTGTTTATATTGTGTTTATATTGTGTTTATATTGTGTTTAGCTGCTATACAATTCCACGTGATAAGCCACTACGTTTATTTGTCATTTGGGACCAGGTCGCTTCTGAAAAAGAGCGATATCGTTCACCTTACCTGGTAAAAAAAAATATATAGTTTAATTTGATAGTTTATTCTACCAGCTGAACTTCACCTGGTCACCTCATCTCACTCAAGGCAGCGACGTCGATGTTATATCTCCCAAGTTCCCTGGTGACGACAAGCAGTCCTTCTTTCCGGTCATGCATTTATCTACGTCATCCATCGGAGTGGGAATATTCCACGTAGCAAAAGCCACCGGTCTTCTTGTGGCTTCGACCGCCGAGAGAGTGATCCCGGCGGTAATGCGGTCAAGAGTGGGCGAGACGGCCTAGGGTCAGGCCACACTCTTCTCGCCCCCCCCCCCCTCGCCGTGCGGGGTGAGCAGAGGGCATCCGAAAGAGGACTGCACGGCCGCGATAGCAGCTGCCGAGTTGCATCCCCGTCTCAGTCCAGGTGCACGGAAAAACCGTTCAACTACCGCCGCCTCCGTGCAGATCCGTGGCTGGAAACTGGCGGATTTCACCGGTGCTGTCCCCGTCACCACTTGTCCATTGCTGCGGGGCTTGCAAGGTTGGGAAGTTTGTGGTTTCCCGCGGTAGAAGACGGCACGCCGTTTCTTTCTCTATCGTAGGGATGCTGGTGCGCTGCCTTCAGCGGCCCCACATGGTCTTGACGGGCAGGAGGTCTCGAGCCCAGTGGCAGGGAGAGTCTGAGACATCCTTCGATCTCCAACTTGCTTGTTGCAGCCTTTCTCCGCGTTCACAGCCGTTGAGATCCAAAGATCATTTTCCGCCTGCTTCACCGTCTTTACCGGAGCCTCGTTTGCCCATCCACTTGAAAGTTCAAAATAGATAGGGGATACCCCACCATACTTCACCCTGTCAAACAATCCCCTACTTAGGCACCCCCGCCACCCACGACGAGTGGTTGGATGTGTGAGGGGCTCACTGCACTCTAACCCAATAGCCTGAGTTCGATTCCCATCCACGGTTGACATCAACAGTGAGTAACATCTGGTCCCATTCTGGGCCTCTCTCCCAGTTCCACTAAGCCTCAAATGAGTACCTGGTGCGGTGTGTAAACATCGCCACTAGCGAAGACAAAGGCGGATAAGCGTGTTGCTGGCCACACACCCCTTAGTGTACCGGCGACAGCCTTCATAGGTGCTCACTAACAGCACTTGCCTCCAAAAGTATGTTAAGGCAATACGGGGGATCTTTGTCTTGTATCTGTGTGCATGTATGCATGTGTGTGTGTATCTACAGTGTGTGCTTGTGTGAGTCTTTGTGGATGCATGTATGCGCTTGAATGCATGCGTATGATTGTATGTGCATGAGCGTACACTTGCTGTAGGTGTATCTGTGTGCTTGCACGCATCTAGGCAGATACATGCATACATATGTGGGTGTGTGTGACTGTGTGTGTGTGTGTGCATGTCACGGTTTCTCTCTGTCCCTCCGGACCTCTGTGTCTGTCCTGTCTCCCAAGATGCTGGGATTTCCGCTCGTTACAGCGCTAATTGATTTACAGGACGGGCGTGACCGCCTCCCCGTGCCCCCAGGGTCTCTCTCCGCAGTACGGGATGTGCCAGTGCCTGCCTGGCTGTCTGCCTGGCTGTCTGCCTGGCTGTCTGGCTTATCAGCTTGATCACATGAGTTCATCATGGGTAGCAGCCTAAAACACCTCGTCAGAGGTCTGTCAGTCTATTGTCTAGAGGGCCCATCAGTGACTGATCTGTCAGTCTATTGTCTAGAGGGCCCATCACAGAGTGGTCTGTCAGTATATTATCTAGAGGCTCCATCAGAGACCGGTCTATCAGTCTATTGTCTGGAGGCCCCATTAGAAATGGGTTTGTCAGTCTATTGTTTAGAGGCCCCATCAGAGACAGGTCTGTCAATCTATTGTCTAGAGGCCCCATCAGAGACAGGTTTGTCAGTCTATTGTCTAGAGGCCCCATCAGAGACAGGTCTGTCAGTCTATTGTTTAGAGGCCCCATCAGAGACAGGTCTGTCAGTCTATTGTCTAGAGGCCTCATCAGAGACAGGTTTGTCAGTCTATTGTTTAGAGGCCCCATCAGAGACAGGTTTGTCAGTCTATTGTTTAGGGGCCCCATCAGAGACAGGTTTGTCAGTCTATTGTTTAGAGGCCTCATCAGAGACAGGTTTGTCAGTCTATTGTTTCGAGGCCCCATCAGAGACAGGTTTGTCAGTCTATTGTTTAGAGGCCCCATCAGAGACAGGTCTGTCAGTCTATTATTTAGAGGCCCCATCAGAGACAGGTCTGTCAGTCTATTGTCTAGAGGCCCCATCAGAGACAGGTCTGTAAGTCTATTATTTAGAGGCCCCATCAGAGACAGGTCTGTCAGTCTATTGTTTAGAGGCCCCATCAGAGACAGGTCTGTCAGTCTATTGTTTAGAGGCCCCATCAGAGACAGGTTTGTCAGTCTATTGTTTCGAGGCCCTATCAGAGACAGGCCTGTCAGTCTATTGTCTAGAGGCCACATTAGAGACTGGTCTTTCTAAATAGCAAAAGTCGCATTAAAACGTGCGTGGCGTTTTCCACCATTGTGCCAATGCAGCATCAATATGCGCTCACTAACAACACTTTCCCTGTCCGCCTGTAAGTTGATACAGGCAATCTCACTGCCCAAGCACTGTGTAATGTCAGTACTGTGTACACGTGTTTACAAGTCACAGCGTGAACATTTTTTCTTCATACTTGGCCAATGAAACAATAAACTTCGCGTCGTTCCTTACACTCCGCTATAGCAAGCCACAGCCCCCTAGCCCCCACCGCTGGGAATCGTGCTCGGGGGGCAAGCAAGGGACCATGGGAGAATTCCCCCCAAAAAATATCGCATCACGTGACCAGCGGTCATGTCCCCTGCCCCCTCGCTAGTCACTAAGCGTGACAGCTCGTGATGGATGAAGGCACGGCGGTGATGACGCACGCCCTGTGATCCGGCGCTTTGGAGGCGAGCGTTGGTGGACCACGCAGAGAGATTTGCGAAAATGGACGAACACCGACCCGGGCTGTGAAGTGCCCGTGAGATGGAAATGCACCAAGTGGGGGAGGTCTTTGTGAACCCATCTGTGTGGAGTATTATGAATCCTCTCGAATGCCTGATGGGATGATTGTTGTTCTATTTATCTATCTATTTATTTATTTATTTCTCCTCTGGGTACTTTGGTTTTCTTCCACACAAAAGCGAAACACTCCTTAGAAAGGAATTGGCTGTACGTCTCAATACAGAACACTCACGACACGAGGCTTGAGATTCAGGTGAGGTGGGTTTCCCGGACGAAATAAAATCCCAGAATATTCCCATGAATTGAAATAACATAAAGAAAGATGTGATCCACAAAATTAAACAATTAAAATGGTGTTTATTTGTCAGTGTGTAATAGCTCCTGGAAGAGGTTTAGTGGGTGAAAGTGTATATGGGCGTGTGTGTTTGTGTTTTGGTGAGTGTGTATATGTGTGAGTGTATCTGTGTGTATGTGTTAAGTGTGTGTGTCTGCGCATAGGTGTGTGTTCATATCCGCATATCTGAAACGGTCCTTGGCCTCTCCTAGGTCGACTCAGCCTTAAATGGTGTGTAAACATCAGCACGGGGGAGACAAAGGCGACCGGGTGTGGCGTTGCCCAAATTATCCACTCGTGCGCTGTACCGACCTTAATAGGTGCTCCCTAACGGCACTTGCCACAACAGCACCTAAAGGCTATACGGGGGATCTTTGTCTGTGTATATATATACATGCGTGAGTGTGTGTGTATATGTGAGCGTATGGGAGTGTGTCGTCTTGGCGGGAGCCAAGATCCAAAAAAAGGATGGAAAAAATCTAAAAATCTGACCCCTGTTTGGGTCGCACGAGATAAATGTGAGCGTGCGTGTTTGTGTCTGTGTGAGCGTCTCGAATGATGCATACGATGGAGCACATGCATGTGCTTGTTGCCGTGTTAGTGTGCGTGTTAGCGTGTGTTAGTGTGCCTGTGTGTAGTAGTTGTGTGTGTGTGTGCGAGTGTTGTGGGGAGCGGTAGCGTAGTGGTTAGCTTGCTGCGTTACGAACTCGGTCACCCAAGTTTTGATTGCAGCTCAGGGGAATCAACGCCAGTGACGATTTTCTGAACCAGATCTGGGCCTCTCTTATGTCGACTCAGCCCTAAACTAGTATCTGGTGCGGTGTGTAAACATAATCACTGGGGAGACAAAGGGGGCCAGGCGTGGTGCTGGCCACCCACCCCTTCGCGTTCCGTGACGGCCTTCACAGGCGCTCGTCAACAGAACTTTCCCCAACAGTCTGTCGAAGGCTATACGGGGGTTCTTTGTCTTTGTTGAACAAACAGGCGATCTACAAGATGGTTTCGTCCGTGATGAAGATGCCGGAAGACGAGGCGACTCCGGAAAAGAGAACCGATAAGATCTTCCGGCAGATGGACACAAACCAAGACGGTAGACACCGCACGAACACGCGCTCACAAACACGCGCTCACAAACACGCGCTCACAAACACGCGCTCAACGCACGCGCACATGAACACGCGTGCGCACACGAACACGTGTGCACAAACACGCGTTGCGTGAACACGCGTGCGTACATACACGGGCGCGCACTCACTGGCACAGAGATTCATGGACAGACTGGAAGGAGAGGGCAGAAGTTCGCGAGCCCCGATGAAGGCCAACACAGCGCGCCTGAGGTGGTGGTGTGATTTTAGCACCACGGCCGCCCGCCTTTGTCTCCCCACTGCCGATGTTTATACACCGCACTCGATACAAAATTCTGGCCGGGTCAACCCTACGACGGGATGCCCAAGACCGGTTCAGATATTTGTCACCGATGGCGACCGGGTGTCATGTGCCATGCCAGCCTTCACAGGTACAGTGCTCACAAACGCCACTCATCCACCCCCACAGTCTCCGTGCCTACACGGGGGATCTCTATTCTCGTGCCCGTGTGAGTCCAGTCGTACGAGTTCAATTGCCGGGCATGGGTAACACCGGTGGCGATTGATATCCGAACCGGTCGTGGGCCTCCCCGAAGTCACCACGGCCCTGAATGAGTTACCGTACCTGGTGGGGCAGCGTATAAACATTACCCAGTGGGGGGGGGGCATTGGTGGGCCGACGTGATGCTGGCCCCACGAAACCCGTGCTGGCCTTCACACGTGCTGGCCTTCACACGTGCTGGCCTTCACACGTGCGCTCGCTAGCAGCACTCGCCCCAAACAGTCCTGTGCGCGGTTGGCCCTTTTGTGCGAGTCTCTCATGTCACCACCCCCCCCCCCCCCGTGCTACTCCGCAGGCAAACTCTCTCTCGACGAGTTCATCCGAGGAGCCAAGAGTGACCCCTCCATCGTGCGTCTGCTGCAGTGCGATCCCTCCAGCGCCACGCAGTTCTAGTGGCAGCTGCGGGGGTGGGGGGTGGGGGGTGGGGGGGGGGGGCAGCGGCGGCGAGTGGGGAGCGCAGGGGAGAAGGTGGACTCGCCAAACGCATCGATCGGGCCCCATCATGGGAGAGAAAGGGTCGGAGGTCAAGTCCTGACGACCCTCGCCCCCCCCCCGCTGCGGGGATTCGGCAGTGCTGACCGTTACGCCTCCTCCGCCTTCTTCGCACACACACACGCAGCCGCTGAGACCAAGTGAGAGACAACAGGGGGATGAGGGAGACACGGGGTGAGGGAGACACGGGGTGAGGGAGACACGGGGATGAGGGAGACACGGGGTGAGGGAGACACGGGGTGAGGGAGACACGGGATGAGGGAGACACGGGGATGAGGGAGACACGGGGTGAGGGAGACACGGGGTGAGGGAGACACGGGATGAGGGAGACACGGGGATGAGGGAGACACGGGGTGAGGGAGACACGGGGTGAGGGAGACACGGGGTGAGGGAGACACGGGGTGATAGAGACACGGGATGAGGGAGACACGGGGTGAGGGAGACACGGGGATGAGGGAGACACGGGGTGAGAGAGACACGGGGTGAGAGAGACACGGGGTGAGGGAGACACGGGGTGAGAGAGACACGGGGATGAGAGAGACACGGGGATGAGAGAGACACGGGATGAGGGAGACACGAGGATGAGGGAGACACGGGGTGAGGGAGACACGGGGTGAGGAAGACACGGGGATAAAAAAGACACGGGGTGAGAGAGACACGGGGATGAGGGAGACACGGGGATGAGGGAGACACGGGGGTGAGGGAGACACGGGGATGAGGGAGACACGGGGATGAGGGAGACACGGGGATGAGGGACACCGAGCACCCAGCAAGTCAGCCAATCACAGAGCTCCTCACACGGGGGTCACACAGGGGTCACACGCAGCGGGGCGGCGAGGGGGCAGCAGTCGTGGTTCGTTTACAGGGGTCATGAAAAAGGGGGTGTTCTTTTTTTTCTTCCCTTGAGGCCCTCAAGTTGGGGGCGTTTTGCACCCACGATTTAATACGGATCTCCCAAGCGTGTACGGACGTGAGCATGGCATGCGGTGTTCATTCACATTTGTTTCCGTTTCTCTGTCTCGATTGACATTTTGGACGTTGGCGGTCGCCAGTAAATTAGTTACGACGTGGAACTTTGTGTTGTAACCTGGCTTGTACGTTTGGTTTGTTGTTGTTGTTGTTGTTGTTTCTTTTTGTAGGTTTTTTTTAATAACATGCACGACCTATTTTGATGTTTTTTTTTAATCTTGACTTTCCAGTGCTTGTGAAATTGAGGACTTATTCCTGTAGCTTTAAATCATGCTAAATAACTTAGCCCTTTGCTCATTTCCGGATCGATTGTATTTCTATCGTTATAATTATTGTTATCATTAGCCTGGCCAATGCTTTTTTTGCCAAGGGTTATTTATGAATGCGGAAGTGTGTTTGTATATAAATTTGGATTTACAGTTCACGAGGTTTTTGTCAGATGGCCACTCTCGATTGAGATCTACGCATGCATGCCCTTTCTTAAGAATCTGTCCGCATTCTCGCACACTTTCACATTGCATGAGAAGGCTTCTTGTTTTCTCTCTGAAGGATTTAATAAAAAATGTAAACATTGTCAAAGCTTGTGAGCGCACACACTTTGAATGGTGATGGCTCACACCTCCCTCTTAGCACATTACCGGCCGGTCTGGTGGATCGCACTCGTAAGGCAGCCCTGCTGATGTGTAAAACACCCAGCACAGCAGTATTACGCACTTCAGCTTCACCCTAACCCAGCCCGAACACAACCATAACTCTAACCTAGCCCTAACCCAACCCTCGCCCTAAAGCACAGTCCAAACCCAACCTTAACCCAGCCCTAACTCTTACCCAGCCCTAGCCCTCACCCCAGCTCTAACCTAAACCCAGCCCTAATTTAACCCTAACCTCTTAAGCCAGCACCAAGAGAGGCCTGTGCTCATGGTTTTCTCCATTTTGACAGCAGAGATCTCGCTAGGCATTTTTTCAACGCCTGCAAAATACATAATAACGTTGAGGCTGCCCGACCTGTCGCTGTACACAGAACTCTGGTTCTTCTTAACCACAATTCTGCCCTTTCTTCTGGATGCTTGTGAAACGTTGGACCCCTTAACATGAACACCTGTAAACCACTTGAAATAATCAGGCTGGCCCGACTATGATCCATCTTGGGATTAATCAACCTGGGTTGCGTGAAGAGCTCACAAATGCTAGAAAGATCTGGACATTGTCCCATCGCTGAGCAATCATGCATTCACTGACCCATATAGCCTGCATGGCCAGCCTCCGCATGCCCAAAGCAATTTTTGTTTGACTGGAAAGAGGAGTCTCGTACGGGCCAGAGAGGAGATAGGCTGATGTGGTGGAGGTGTCTTCTGTGGAGGAGGCTCGTGAAGGACGCTACCGGGCAATTGGAGGCAGTCGACCTTCAACAAGAACAGTGCGAAAGAGCAACGCTCAAATGCGAGCAGAGCGTCGGACAGCCAAACTCAGCAATGTGGCACTGGGGAACGCAGGTGGTGCATCTGCTCGACATCTCAGTCAATTAACCCACAATACGCATCTGTATCATGACCTGCCCAGCGAGCCTTTAACACTTCACGCTGCCTCAAAGTGCATCTAACCTGGCACAAGCACCGTCGGTGATGTCACCACCACTTCGTGGCAAATAGTAAATGGAAGTCTGTATTCTGTATGTATGCGTGTCCGTCTGTATTCATTATGGGGAGCAGTAGTGTAGTGGTTAGCGCGCTGTGCTAAGGGTTCGATTCCCGCTCACCGCAACCAACACCATTGACGATTATCTGAACCAGATCTGGCCCGCAACTTGGTCGACTCGGCCTCAAATGAGTACCTGGTCCGATGTGTAAACATCACCACGAGGGAGACAAAATCGACCTGGCGTGGTGCTGCTGACCACCCCTCCCCACCACCCCCACACGTGTGCCATGCCGGCCTTCAGAGGTGCTCGCTAGCAGGAAGTTTGTTAAGGCTCTACGGGGCATCTTTGTCTCATTACGTGCTTGTGCGAGTAATTTCGTTCAAATAAATTAGTACCTGGTGCAGTGTGTAAACATTAGCGCTGGGGAGTGCTTTACAAAAGAATCCAGGCGTGTGCCTGCGAGCAGCACTTGCCCCCCATAGTCCATGGAGGCTACACGGGGGATCTTTGTAATCGTGTCATGGCACATTTAGAGCTGCACAATTTAAGAGGAATTTTATCTCGACTAATCGATGTGAATAATCTTCTCCAGCCTATTAAAACACGTTGAAAAATACAACCCCCCTTCGCGACATTTTACAAATAAACATTTTGTTAAAGTGGGAAATGTGTTAAAATTGTATACCGGTGTCTTTGTTCACGTGTTTTTTCTGCAGATGCTAAGATATATTTATGCCAGGTGGTATTTGATTAAAAAACATTCATCATCAGCCATTATCCACTGCTGGATGAAGGTCCTCCCCATGTCACCACCATCTCACTCGTCCGTTTCGTGCGTACCAGCTGATCGCGTTGCTCCATTTCAAACACTGCAAGAGTGGATTCATCGTTGGGTCCGCTGACGTTCGAAACCAGTAGGCCAATGTGTGTTGGCGTCGCGGTCCCAAAACATTCCTGCTACCAAAAAATACCCACAAATTACTCAATTGGGACTATGCACAGCAATCATCGCACCCCCTACTCATTGAAAACTCATTGCAATGAGCAGGGTGTCTCACTGGGACAGCTGCCACTGGGGGTTGCCCTTTGAATATTTGAGACGTGATGTAAGTCGCTTGCACCCGCGGGCGTGAAGGGTGCTCTATGAAAAAAACTAATTATTATCTCCTCGGTGAGCGACCTCTGGCCATCATCCTATCACTAGTATCCTCCCATTTGCCATCAGTTGGATGTATGTGTGCACTTCCTTCCCACCGTACGTAGTCAACCGTGATAATCGGAGGTCCGGGAGAAGGACAAGAAACTAAGCAGAAAAAAGCCATTGTAAAGGAATGAGTGATCAATCAAGATGATGTAAAAGTGTATAGCTCCAGTGGCTTCCTCATATTGGAAGGAAGAGAGTTCCAGACGCACATTTGAAACCGGTCGATGCGGAGACCATCCTTGTTCGATGGTTAGCCAAAAGCCGCTGCTGCGAGGGCTACCAAAGTTTGCATGGTCGATGGTTTATGTTTAACACGTGGTAAGGCTTTCGCGACCAATATCATCCATAATACAAGTTTTTTGGGTTAGATCGCATAAATATATAAATGTTTAACCCGCGACCACCGGTGTGCTGTACTCATAACGAATTGGCGTGTTCTGTTTACGTGACAAACCCCCTTACTAATTGGCTGTGTTGGGTGGTGGCGGGTTTAATGACACATTTATATATTTACGCAATTTAACCCAAAAAAACCTGTATTCTGGATGGTTTATGCTCCTTCGCGTGATGCGGTCCCCAACCCAAGTCGTGCCAGAGTCTGCAAAACAAAACAAATGTGGCGACTTGCACCACCATCAGTTGGGAGAGGCACGTTCAGGGCCTGGTACGGAGACTGGTACAGAGCATTAAACAGCCTTGTCGCCTCCCAGTGGCATTGCTACTCTCTCAAACAGTCCCTGTGAGCCTCGGGCATTCGCGAGGAATAATACGAATCCATATGGTGCCGGAGTCTGGCTCTTGTCAGCTCGCATTCCTCACTGGATACAGTTACAAGTTTTCCAATCCAACAATTCAGATTTTTACATGTGACTTAATTTGGTCTGGCTATGTTAAGCTTAAAGGATACATTGTAGAAACATTTACATGGCTGTCACCCAGAAAACACCACAATTTATTATGGAAAATTTGAACAAATATAAAAATAAAACCCTGGTATGAAATACTGTATATTGAATATTGTAAATATGTACAATTCGAGTGATGATCTACTCCAGGGATGGTTCTTGCTGTGGGAAGAGGAAACACGACACGTGTCTAACGCCATCTGTTGAGCAGAGCACAAACAATGACTACAGCCATCTATCTATACAGGTTGCCTTTAGTCGAGAAAGTCAACACATTATAACATCGATTTCCCAGAAAATTTGTATTTTGTTTGCGTTTAAGCCACGTAATTGTCTTGCCACAGAGATATGTCAGGAGGCCCTCGACTACCCGACGTAGCCAAATTTAATTAAGTGCGTGACAAACTTGGACAAATTATGTTACGTGGGCCAGCCTAAAAACATGAACTCGCGAGATGCTTACCGAGTCTAGAAACTCACATCGCTGTTATCTGGTCTAGACAACTTCATACAAGCGCATCCAGTGGAATATTTAAACAACGAAAAAACATTTCACTGTGATGAATGCTTCTACTTTCACACCCATGGTGGTTTAACACGTGTGAGCGCATTACAAACAACAAACTTCTCCTTTAAAGTTGCGTAGGCCAAACAAGGGCCGAGTGCTGTTATAGCGAGCACCGAATAAGGCTGTCACGCATCACAGATGCAAGAGGATTTCTTGATGCACCCTTCAGTAATGGGTCAAACCGAGGGAGGCAACTACTCCCGTTTGCTCATGCTAATTGCGATACTCATTAATATGCACATAAAAGGCAACAAGTCAACCCAGGCATGTGGGGTTGTAGTTCACACACACACACTGTACAGATGTGTTCAACAGCTATACTAATATCACTATGGGACGTGGCGTGCCCGCACAGTAGTCGCTCCCTCTCGAAGAGAGAGAGAGAGCGAGAGGACGACTCCTGAGGTACTATGGGAGTTGAATGTCTGAGACGACTGGCAAATGCACCACCCGTAATCTCCACCATGCCAATAAATACTGCGGTACACAAAGACCCCCGCCGTATAACCTTAACAGACCGTCGGGGCAAGTGCTGTTAGCGAGTACCTATGAAGGCCGACATGGCACACGAGGGGGTGGGTGGCCAACACCACGCCTGGCCGCCTTTGTCTCCCCAGTGGCGATGTGTACACACCGCCCCAGGTATTCATTTGAGGCTGAGTCGACCTAGGGGAGTCCCAGGACCGGTTCAGATAATCGTCATCGGTGTTGGCCGTGAGCGGCAATCGAACCCGGGTCGCCAGGTTCGGAGTGCAGCACGCTAACCATGGTACATACACACATAGAGACAACAACAACACTCGCCATTCACCACTAAGTGGCGGTGACGTCACCACGACGCTAGTGCCAGGCCATGTGCACCTTGAGGCCACGTGAAGTGTCGAATGCCCGCTGGCAGGAGGTCACGGGGCAGACCCAGGTGCCACGGGTCGACTGACTGAGATGACTGGCTGATGCACCACCTGTGCCCCCTACTGTGCCAACCTGCTGTGCTTTAGCCACCCGGCGCTCCGCTCGTTGTTGTGAACGTCGCTCCTCCGCCCTCCGTTGTTGTTGGAGGGCGACTGCCTCCAACTGCCCAGTAGCATCCTTCACGAGCCTCCTCCACAGAAGCCGATCTTGACACCGCTGGTACCAAGTCCACTCAACTCCACATCCTCCTGTACCACATCACTCCATCTGTTATCTCACCCATGCCGCGCCCGTTTAGCCCCCTCTATCCGGCCGAACAAAAGCTGTTTATGCATGCGGTGGCTGGGCATGCGGGCTACATGGCCCAGCCAACGCAGCCTTGCCTGCCAGAGGAGCTCACCGATGGGACTTTGCCCAGATCTTTTAAGGATTTGTGAGCTCCTCACACAATCCAGCCTGGTTAAACCCAGGATGGATCGTAGGTAGGCCAGCCGAAATGTTTCCAATCGGCGAAGATGTTCCATTAGGGGGTTCCACATAGACACACACACATCGACACACACGCGCTCGGCTTTCACCAATGTCTTATTTATTGTACCCTGGTACAGTATAAAAAAAAACAATGTCCTCTATGAAGCATAAACTCTAATATGAACAGCAAGAATGGGGGGGGGGGGGGGGGGGGGGGGGGGGGGGAAGGAAGTACAGGTTATGTAACAATGGCAGGCAAGTTCAGTGCCTGAAACCTTCACCACGGTCTCCTCATAATCGGAACGAAAAAACAAAGACATTGGAGGGATGTTTCTGGCCCAGAAACACCCAACATTTGAATGTTTTATTTCTCCAAATAAATGAAATCCCTCAACGTGTTATTTTATACTGTTGCGTGTTTCTTTATGCGTGGGTGTCCATGACACCCAAAAACACCAACCGCCTCACGTTAACTCGTCGCCTCGCACACGTCAACAAATTATTTCACTCGACTCTTCAATAACTTTCCCGCTATTTTCCCCCTCCTCGTGTGAATATATATATGCATAAGCACACCGTACATTGCGTGTGCACGTAAAAAGAAAAAAGCCAATGCACCTGGCAAATGAACGTGGATTTTTTTTGTTGTACACTTTTATATACTTTATTTTGTAATGCTTTATTTATAAAATTAAAACCATCCCCAAAGCTAGCTATAAAGCCCAGTAAAGCCCCATTTACCACCCGCCCCCCCCCCCCTTAATAACTTTTATAGTGTGGTTTAACCCACCACCACCACCACCACAAAAAAATAATTGAAGCCCATGTCTGACCTGACCTTGAACCCCAAAGAATCTGCATGACCTTGGCCATGATTCACGATGGCTTTGCCAAGGTCGCGCTGACCCAAATACATGCAAGGGGGCAAGAGCGTACAGGGGAATGCCGCGGTGCTTTGTGTGTGTGTGTGTGCCCTGTGATGAGTGTTCAGCATGCTGCAATTCGGCCTCAGTGTTCAGGCAACAGCCATGGCCGGAATTATCCTCGGTGAGCGTGGCCTTTTCAAATGAGACGCTACGGCAAGTACAGCAACCCAGGCAATTGTTTCACAAAGTGGTAGGCAGCCAATCGAGAGCCACTATGCAGAGTTGTGGCCCATCATGATGCCCGAGCCGCCAATTGCTCTGTCTCGCTGCATGTCGTAACAGCTTGGGCTGCCTGACACGTCACAGGGGGTTGCCTGAAACATCACAGAGGTTGTCTGACACATCACATGGGTTGCCCGACACATCACATGGGTTGCCTGACACGTCACACAGGCTGCCTGAAACATCACAGGGGTTGCCTGACACGTCACATGGGTTGCCTGACACGTCACATGGGTTGCCTGACACATCACATGGGTTGCCTGACACGTCACACGGGCTGCCTGACACCTCACACGGGTTGCCTGACACGTCACACGGGCTGCCTGACACCTCACACGGGCTGCCTGAAACATCACATGGGTTGCCTGACACGTCACACGGGCTGCCTGACACGTCACACGGGCTGCCTGGACTGCACCCCCCCCCCCCCCCCCCCCCACACACACACATCGGGGGCCACTTTGATCTCAACTAAAGAAGCAGAGAAAGAAAATTCTAATGAATTATTTTAATTGGACAGTCATTTGAATGAGCGAGATATGCACAATTGGCCGACATTATCCTGTATGCCAAACTGACCGATGCGCCATCGGTTATGTACTTCTCTTCAGGCGTGTTTTTGTTTTTATCTGTTTGTTGTGGTTGCACCCGATTCAACAGCCGAATGGCTCACAGGGCCATACCAAAATAAATAAACTGAAACTGAAAAAAACTTTGTAAATGTGAAGGGGAAAAACAAATAAAAATGTCTTCTCTCTCTCAAGCGTCTGTTCCCTTAACATGCAGGTTTTCACAGCCAATATTAAGATTCGACATTGAATTTTGTCCCCAAGATATACGATTGCTACATTTGGTTGCAAGAATTATTACTCAATTCACCGCCGAGCGAGCTGAATCAAGTGCAACCGGCAGGTTAAACACTTGTACACGGGACAATTTAAATTGTTTGGCTGTTGTCAGGTGGTGAAGGGCCTTCACAACACAAATTTGGCCCAGATCATTATGTGGGCCCGACCCACAAATCAATCATGAGTAACAGTTTGGAATGGCAGAACCAAGTCAGACACATTCCCACAGAAACCTGAATACAGCATAATGTAAACATTTAACAAATTGCATGTACAGACATGTATAAACCGGGTTGTTTAAGTACAGAGTATTTCATTTCATGTTATTTGGATTATTACAGCATTGTTATTCAATCCTGGAAGTGTTTGGTTTCCATCTTCCTCAACAATAAACCAGAACGAAAAATAAAATAAAAAATAAGTTTCCCAAGTCACCCCTACTTATGAAAAATAAAACGATCTATACTTTTTTTAATATGATATATTGCACATTATTTACAAAGATTGTTAGAAAATGGCTTATTTTCCAAACACCCTAATAGAATTTACAAAACAAGTACTACCTTAAAGTCTGTCATTATAACGAGCAAGCTATCGGCATTACGCTTAAGAGGAACCACAGAGGGGATGATGAGAGATGGATTGAACCTGAACGATGCATGTGGGGTTCATGGTGCTGGATTTAAGCATGAGAAAAGGGGCTTAAAGGGTGGCGCCTAAGATCCGGCTTTCAATTAAATTAGGCCGGCAATCCCGTGCAAGGGTTTGTGAAACTACCACACCTGCGAAGTGGCCAGGAGATGGCAGCACAGCAGACGCCTCTTTGAAATCAATCTGTGCAAATATTGGACCGTATATGTGGTGGTTTATCGATGTTCGACCAATTCCATTCGTGTTTGGCATGCGGGAATGGGGGCTGCAGAAAAAAAACCGCCTTGTGACTCCGGGTAAACATTACTGACCAGCCAGCCTGTGTAGACACTGAACCATGTTGTGGTTGTCACTTTTAAAAGGACTTAAAACAGTTTGGTTGCTTATCAAATGTGTATTGACTTGTTTGCTTGCATTCCAGTAGCGGAAAAAATTGAATGTCTGGTGCAAATCACTGTACGCCTTGTTATCCAACCTACTTGCTGTACTACCCTCTACTCCCGGTGCGGGCTCAAGCCACGCATTTGAGCGACCGAGTTCGTGAGTGGGTGGGTGATTTAGTGCGAGAGTTGGGTGGGTGAGCGAGCAAGTCATTTGGTGGGTGGGTGGGTGAGCGAGCGAGTGATCGAGTGAAAGTAAATGAGAGTGAGGGATGGTTTAGGCAGTAGAAGACTCTTAAAAGTTGGACCATACCCCCCCTTCTGTGGCTCCTGCTCCGAAAAGGAAGAAATAAAAACATCACAGTAACAGCTGACCCAGCCGCAACTTAGTCACCAATCCGTCTCCTCTGTGATTGTCTCTGTTGTCTGTGTGTGCGCGTTTGTCCTTGTTAATGATCCACGGTCGCTACGTAGCGTGCGTGCGTGTATGTATGTTGTGTTTTCGCCGCTTTAAAACGATCCCGGGTTTAATTGGCGGCAAGGTGAGTGTTTCAAATGGCACAGAGAATATGCGGCGTGTAACAGCAATAAAAACGATCGCCCAAAAACCCAGGCTTTAGGACACCATCCACCGTCATCAGCGTCACAATCGCCACCGTCGCAACGAAGCGTATAACAACAATTCACCCGCTCCAGCGATCCGATGAATTGTCATGTTTTGGGCATCGCTATTCGAGTCAAGAGCAGACAATTTTTCCATCTCAATTAACCGTCTCTCGTTTGTATTGTTTTCTCACGCGTTAGGTCCGGTTTTTGTACAGATTTGTTCTCACTCCACGAGACTAAAATGTAACATTAGCACCGCATTTGCATATAATTTGTATAAATCTTAGATAACCGATTCTCACGTGCTCGATCGATTCAAAAGGCCTGAATTCGTAAGCATGAGAATCTAATTAAATTGGAGAATCGACACATCGATACGTGCCTAATCATCATCATCACTGTCGTCATCGTCATCTCTCCGAGGTCGGTAAAATGAGCACTCCCTAGACAGGCTGCACACTCCCCCGCGGTGGAGGGGACGCCAGCGGATAATTGAAAACGGCCAAAAAGCACCACGAATGCAACACTGACCATGAGAGACACCGAGCAAAGCTGCGGGAACACCCAGCTCGTGGTGATTGTGAAACGAGCCTCGGGATTTCTACGCAACGTTCCAAACCTAAACAGGAACCCCGCTTAAAAGCAACGACACCTCTTGTTTACATGGAATGCAACGATGTCTGTGCTCGATTTGTCATCTCTCCCGCATCGATTAAATTCTATTCCACAGAATGGCATCGGTAGAAACGTTTTAGAAATTAGACGATATCAGATTTTCTAATCGTGCTGTGCGCGTTCGTTCAACTGCCCGGCAGGTTTAATTGTACTGAGATTTGGAATTTGCAGCGTTGTTCCACTCCGCTGGATTTAACTTTTCTCCTAGTGCCCACCGCTCACTTGGCTTCTTCCCCAAGCTTTTCATCAAATCAACGCAACACGGATTTGAGTACGGCTTCAAATACACGATCGTGGACGTTGGCGACGAATCGACGCGCCACTCGCGTGGGCGATTCTCTCCGCGTTACGACCGCGATCCAGTCCCCTACAAAGCAGCACTTGGCTCACTTTACCAGCCCTCGAGAGGAGACCGTGATGGCGATCATAATGACGATGATGACGACGATGATGAAAACGAGTTGAACCCGACCGGGATTTTAACTCACGACCTCCCGGACGGCAGCCGTTGGCCAGCCCTGGTGAAGCGTGCCGGTGGTGCAGGGCGTGGCGGAGAGCGACGGGTGTCGCCGTGCCGTTGTGGTTGTCGATGAGCTTCTGGGCTGTGGACGAGCGGGGGGTGGGGGGGGGAGTGGCCGTGTCGCGCGATGCCGCTCGCCCCTATATGTCGGTGAGGGTCACCTTGATGCCTCCGTCCAACTCGTCCATCTCCAGCAGGAAGGTGTCCTCGTTCGAGTAGTGCTCGATTATGTTGTCGTCCATGTAGACGAGCATTCTGTGCAGACGCATGCCACGCACATCCCGCCACACACACCCAACAACCCCGTTTAATCGTGGCCTTCAGCACCGGCGTTAACAACCCTGCAACTGAAACAAAAACAACGTTTATATTCTTAGCTCTTTCGGTAAAGTCACGTTGAAGGGAAACAACAAAATAATAAAATATATATAAAACAATAAAAATTATCACGACGTTTCGACCATAACACAAACGGTCGTCATCAGGTGTGTCGATTTGTTGTTTCCCTTCAACGTGACTTTACCGAAAGAGCTAAGAATATGAATTACTGCAGTCACGAAAGCTTTAAATCAAAATTTAAAAACAACGTTTGTTTTTATTTTACCAGATCAGGCCCACTAAGCTATGTAGCTCTTTTTCAGGAGCGACCTGGCCACAACGAAGTGGCTTACCACGTGGAAATGTGTCGCAGCCAAACCGACACGACAGCCGAAACACATTGGGGCTAGTTTATTAAATTCACCCCCCTCCACCGTAACCCCCCCTCCTCGCTGCCTGTGTCCACCCAGGCGGATCACTGATGGGTTCACCACGATTGGCTGATCGCCGGTTCGTGTGCGCTAGATAACAACTTCCACCTCTTTCAAGGCATCCGGCCAGCGTGCAAGAAAAAGTAAAAAAAACACCCTCAAGAGGGTCCTCTCTCTTGATAGAGCTCCCGCGAGTGAAGGCCCTTTGCCAGCGGTGGCGCAAGCAGGAAATTGCAGGCCTGCGCCTATGCATAACGCTCCCGTTGTATGTTTGTATGTACGTTGAACTTCTTTCACACAGTACATAGCCAACCATGCTCATCGGAGGTGAAATTAGTTTCAAATGAAAATCATTTCTTTAAAACTGCATTTTGTATTTAGTTGGTTGTCCTTCCCCCGCACCTCCAATAAGCATGGTTGACTACGTATGGTGTGAAAGAAGTTCAACATTATACTAACACTCATTAATTGAACTGGCCCGACAATGCAGGACCCCTCCTAAGACTAAAATATTGAGGCTCGGTGAAGCCTTCTTTGGCATATAAAACGTGTTGCCATGATTGACCATTATACTTGGTGCTTTCTCTCAGCTATGCCAGCCTCAGTAAGAAGAATCCTAACGGTACCTTAGTCTGACCATGTGACCATTGTGCAATAACAATGAACCCAAAGAATCCTAACGGTGCCTTAGCCTGTGCACCAACTTGCTGCATTTAACCGCCCGACACTCCGCTCGTTGCAGTGCGTGCCGCTTCCCCGCCCTCCGTTAGTTGTCCTTGGAGGGCAGCTGTTGGTGCATGCGAGTGTGTGTGTATGCGTTGGGACACACACACGCACGCATGCAATTTGCACCATGTTTGCCATTTACTTTGGCAACAAATTCCATTTTTTGGGCAGTGGTAAATCCATCGGGACCAGGTAAAGGTGAGCTCCCCCTGTGGACCAAGTGGCCAAAAGTGATTTAATCCTTTAATCCCCCGGTTACGTATTCACCATGGAGACGCACAACACAATTCGATACGATGTTCCGGATAGCTGGTCAGCAACCTACTTTCTGCACTGTTATTCCCTGCATGGCCCCATCAAACCCACCAGCGGGCAAGTCGCCCGGTGAAATGCCGGCGCGCGTCGTCACGAAGGGGGCGAGGAAGAGAGAGAGCTCACCCTTTTTTGCATTTCTTGTAAATCTTTCTGATGCTTTCTAAGGACACCCCGTACTTTTCTGAGATCTGGAACAGAAACGCATGGTTCACAAGCACACTCAGATAAATTCCACCATTTAATTTTTTTATCATCATCAGCCACATACCATCGTCATTTCCCACCACGATCAACGTCATCGATGGCCGCATTTCTGGACGGACAGCAGCAGTGTTGGGATGTGCACAGTGCCGATGAGTTTGTGCCTCCGCGTGCAGCGTGCGGTGCAGCTGCGGCGTGCATCTGTGCATTGTGGAGTGCATCTGTGCATTGTGCAGCGTGCGATGCAGCCGCAGCGCCTCGTTAAGACGGCGTGGTGTGCAGTGTGCATCTCTGTGTGGCGCGGCGTGTATCTGTGCAGGGTGCAGCGTGTATCTGTGCAGGGTGCAGCGTGTATCTGTGCAGTGTGCAGCGTGTATCTGTGCAGTGGGCAGTGTGTATCTGTGCAGTGTGTATCTGTGCAGTGTGTATCTGTGCAGTGTGCAGCGTGTATCTGTGCAGTGTGTATCTGTGCAGTGTGTATCTGTGCAGTGTGTATCTGTGCACAGTGTGCAGTGTGTGTCTGTGCAGTGTGTATCTGTGCAGTGTGTATCTGTGCAGCGTGTATCTGTGCAGTGTGTATCTGTGCAGTGTGTTTCTGTGCAGTGTGTATCTGTGCACAGTGTGCAGTGTGTGTCTGTGCACAGTGTGTAGTGTGTATCTCTGTGTGGTGTGCAGTGTGTATCTGTGCAGTGTGCAGTGTGTATCTGTGCAGTGGGCAGCGTGTATCTCCGTGTGGTGTGCAGTGTGTATCTGTGCAGGTTGCCACGTGTATCTCTGTGTGGTGTGCAGTGTGTATCTGTGCAGGTTGCCACGTGTATCTCCGTGTGGTGTGCAGTGCGTATCTGTGTGTGGTGTGCAGTGTGTATCTGTGCAGGTTGCCACGTGTATCTCTGTGTGGTGTGCAGCGTGTATCTGTGCAGTGTGCAGTGTGTATCTGTGCACAGGGTGCAGCGTGTATCTGTGCACAGGGTGCAGCGTGTATCTGTGCACAGGGTGCAGCGTGTATCTGTGCACAGGGTGCAGCGTGTATCCGCGCGTGGCGGCGTGACGTCGATCGGCGGCCACTCACGGCTTCCTTGAGCCCCGCCAGGTTGGGAGTCTTCAGCATGAGGGCGTCAAACACCTCGTCCGACGGCCGCCTCACGTAGAGCAACACTGCAGGGTGACACATGGGGGGGGGGGGGGGGTGGGGGGGGAGGGTGGTGAGCGAGGGGGGCCGCGGGGACCACGCTCACCACGGGGGCCGACCCGCCGCGTCCTCGCTCGCAAAGCAACGTCGGGGCCGGCCCAAAAGCTCGCCGGGAGCGAGGGGGTAAAGGCGCAAAGCCTCGGGACCGAGCGCTCGAGCCACACGGCGGCGGGAAGATGCCCGCGCCGGAGCGAACTCCTCGAGAGGGCAGTCGCTCTCCCCTTTCCACGTCGACGAGGCGTGCCTCGGACGAGGCGTCGGCGTACCGACGCCTCGCCACACCGCGCTCGTGACCTGCCAATCGACCGACCGCGGCGCGACCCGTTGGTACTGCCGAGCAGACAGGAGGCGGTGGCGGGGCGCGGGGTGGCCAAGAAACTCGCGGCATTGTTTCAACGGCCGCGCCGAGAGATGGGGTCGAAGCGGCGACCTCTGGATCGCAAGGCCAGCGGTTCTAACCCTGCCACCACGGCAGCTCCCCCCCCCCCCCGGTAATAACAACGATGCGACAAAGTGTATTTGTTTAAATTCGTCAGGTGTTATCAACAAAACGGCCATTCTTAACGATCGCACAGCCGCGCGTCGCTGCGCAATTTCGGAGAGCGGCACGGGGAAGCAGACTTCACAGAAACGCTTGCGAGATCCCACACACCGACACTTTTTATGCACTTGCCCACCCGTGTTTACAGCCAGTCAGCAAGCAAAACTTTTTTTTCTTATATAGCATGATGAACTCATCGTGAGCATCGTTGTGGAGAATATAATTAGCAAAATAAGTGAGCAGACAACATGTCACCTCCGTGTATCTGTCCCTCCGTATAAACACAAAGCTGTACGATACATCGCGCACTGCCACTCGCTACTAGGGGGTGATACACACTCCCACATGTCCTGCCACTCACTACTAGTGGGTGATACACACTCCCACATGTCCTGTCACTCACTACTAGTGGGTGATACACACTCCCACTTGTCCTGTCACTCACTACTAGGAGGTGATACACACTCCCACTTGTCCTGTCACTCACTACTAGGGGGTGATACACACTCCCACATGTCCTGCCACTCACTACTAGAGGGTGATACACACTCCCACATGTCCTGTCACTCACTACCAGAGGGTGATACACACTCCCACATGTCCTGTCACTCACTACTAGTGGGTGATACACACTCCCACATGTCCTGTCACTCACTACTAGAGGGTGATACACACTCCCACATGTCCTGTCACTCACTACTAGGGGGTGATACACACTCCCACATGTCCTGTCACTCACTACTAGGGGGTGATACACACTCCCACATGTCCTGTCACTCACTACTAGGGGGTGATACACACTCCCACTTGTCCTGTCACTCACTACTAGGGGGTGATACACACTCCCACATGTCCTGTCACTCACTACTAGAGGGTGATACACACTCCCACATGTCCTGTCACTCACTACTAGTGGGTGATACACACTCCCACATGTCCTGTCACTCACTACTAGTGGGTGATACACACTCCCACATGTCCTGTCACTCACTACTAGGGGGTGATACACACTCCCACATGTCCTGTCACTCACTACTAGAGGGTGACACACACTCCCACATGTCCTGCCACTCACTACTAGGGGGTGATACACACTCCCACATGTCCTGCCACTCGCTACTAGAGGGTGATACACACTCCCACATGTCCTGTCACTCGCTACTAGGGGGTGATACACACTCCCACATGTCCTGCCACAGAGGATCAACACAAATTGGGTGAAAGACAACATATAAGGCTAGGTGTTTTTTTTAGTGCAGTTATTCGTCACCGGGCTGAGACGATCAACTCGCTGCACTTGGCAACCCGGTTTGACCACAGGTGATTGAGACTCAAATTCAAATCCAGGAATTCAGAGGTGCCCAGCTCAGTGCTCTGCCTCATGAAATCCTCGGCCAACTCAACGATGTCGTTGAGTGGCTGGGCCCTGTGAGGACTGAGTTAGAATGAACACGCGTTTTAGAGTATTTGGCTGCTATAAATTTCCACGTGATAAGCCACTTCGTTGAGCTATCATTTGTGACCAGCTCAGTGGGCCCTAGCTGGTAAAATAATAGTTTTTTTAGTTTATTTTATTTTATTCCCAGCGTGACTAAAATAATTGTCGTGATTTGGCAGTCGCAATTCCGTTAGATTTAAGGCGGCGATTATTTTCCATCTCGCGTTCACGCCGGCCGCTTGCGTCACGCGTCTTATTTTTTTTTATTTCTGTTCACGCGACGAATTAGTCCGCACCGTGAGCCTAAAGGAAACATTCGAATATCACTTGCATAACACTCGCGTACCGCTTGCATGGTCTACGAGCAACGGATTCTCACGCGAACGATCCGACGCGCGCGTCAGAAGCGACGTATGTTGACGAATGGACGCGCCGCTTTTTACATGTCTGTTATTTATGCAGGAAAGCCTCACTGAGTCTCGGGGCGTTAAATCGGTCGCCATGGTGATGGGAGCTCCCACCTTTCTTCAGAGGCTCCTCCTTCAGCTGCTTCGCGGGCGACGCAAACTCCTCGTTGAAAAAATGCGGAGGGCGCTTGAGCATCACGCTGCTGGTGACAGGGTCGTGGGGGTTGGAGGGCAAGAGATCGCGATGGGATACATCATTTGGCATTGCAGGACGCTTCGTTCGCGCGTGCGTGAAGGCGTCCGTCTGTTTGTCACGATGCTCGCTTCAGTATTCAGTGTCGTACAGAGTCGAGCGAGGGCTCCCTCTCTCTGATGGGAAGGAACCGGCCGGCCTGCGGTATCGATGATATGCAACGTGTATGACCTACCCACCTTCGACCTATGTAAAAAAAAAAAGAAACCACTAGAAAAGCTTTAGATTACTCGGAGGAATCAGGCTTTGCGAAAGATTTCAGCTTGGAGAAAAGATGCAGCCCATTCAATCGCTCGCACGCACACACACACACACAAGGTGTTACATTTCTAGAGCGTCTTACAGTGGCCACGTCTCAAGAGGCTGCACAGACGGAGGAGGCAACAGGATGGAGTGTCAGGTCAAGTGTGGGTGCACGCGCCGAGACAGCGTGAAGAAGCAGCATCCACCCGTTCATTCCCTGAGCTCCGGTTTAAACAACTGTGTCGAATTAGTGAGATGTTCACTGAAGGGGGGCAAGAGGGGGGTTTCTGTGCCTTTGTTTGTGTCTCCAGATATACGGCTGTGTGTCTGCGCATGTGTATGAGTGCTTGTGTCTTTGTATGTGGGGAGCGGTGAGTGCTTGTGTCTTTGTATGTGGGGAGCAGCGGCTCAGTGGCTGGCGCGCTGCGCAACAAAACCACCGAGCCGAGTTTGATTCGAGCTCACGGCCAACACCAGCGACGATTATCTGAACTGGTCCTGGGCCTCCTCGAAGGTCGACTGACAAATGAGTACCCGGTGCGATGTGTAGACATCGCCACTAGGGAGACAAAGGCGGCCGGGAGTGGTGCTGGCCACCCACCCCCGGGGGTGCCGTGCTGGCCTTCGTAGGTGATCGCTAACAGTGATCGCTAAAAAAAAAGTCTATTCAGGCAACACGGGGGATCTTATTTTTTTACATTTGTGCACGTGCGTTTGGGTGTACGTGTAAGTGTACGCCCTGAGTGTGCGCGTGCCTGTGTGCATCTTTGCACGCGCGATAAACGGACTCACCCGTCCCTCTCCACATCTTCGGGAGTGCTCGAAAACCCCTGCAGCAAATACACACGACACACGGACGACCGATCACGTGAGCCGGCACGGACACAACGATAGCCCAGCGGATCTTCAGGTCAGGTGAGGTGCGTGTACCTCACCCATTCAGGTGAGGTGCGTGTACAGGTGAGTGTGCAGGTGAGGGTGTTTGGGTGACAGGTAACGGTGGCTGGGCCTAGTGTGTTGTTCAGGTGAGTGTACCAGTCCACACTGGTACAAGTTTGCAGGTAAGGCCTCACGTAAGTGTCTTCCGACAGCCGAGTGGGTAAAGGCGAGTGTTTCGATGTGTGTTCAGGTCGGTGTTTAGCTGAACATTCAGGTGAGTTTTAGGTCATGCATACAGGTGAGTGTAGGGGTGAGTGTACAGGTGAGTGTGCGCATGTTGCGGGTGAGTGTACAGGTGAGTGTGCGCATGTTGCAGGTGAGTGTTGGTACAGGTGTGTAGGAGCGAGCGTAGGGGTAAGGGTGGAGGTGAGCGCAGGAGCACGTGCGCAGGTGAGCATAGGGGTGAGCGTAGGGGCGAGCGTAGGGGCATGCATGTAGCGGTCCTCGTAGGGGTGAGAGCAGGAGTGAGCGCAGGGGTGAGTGCAGGGGTGAGTGCAGGGCTGAGCTTCAGCGCACCTGTGCGGAGCGCTGCAGGTTGGTGAAGTGGATGTCGGGGATGAAGAGCACGGGCTGTGAGCTTAGGTCGGCCAGCGCCTTGAAGAGGGTGAGGTCGCTCCTCTTGACGGCCGCCACCACCGAGGACTTCATGTCACCCGCTGAGAAAACGCGCACGGCGGAACGCACGCCACACCCGCAGCGTCAAACACGGCACGCATACGGCACACACACACACGCAGTGTTACCACACGGCACACTCGCGCAGCGTTAAACACGGCACACACATGCAATGTTGCACACGGCATACGCACGGCACACACGCGCAACGTCATACACGGCACATAAGCGCAGAGTTACACACGACACACACGCAGCGTTGCGGTTGCCGTGGGAGCCACTCACAAGCGTTGCACAGTGACACGGCAGCCTGTCCCTTGGCTTTCTTGCGCATCTGCTTGCGCTCCTCATCGCGGATCTTGCGCTCCGCACCCTGCGGAGACAACGGCATCAACAACCGCGTCAACAACAACAACCACGCTAACAACCACATCAACAACCACCACCAGCGAATACCACATTAAGAACCGCGTCAACTACCACACTAACAACCACAACATCAACAACCACGCTAACAACCACAACATCAACAACCACCACCAGCGAATACCACATTGAGAACCGCGTCAACTACCACACTAACAACCACAACATCAACAATCACGCTAACAACCACATCAACAACCACCACCAGCGAATACCACATTAAGAACCGTGTCAACTACCACACTAACAACCACAACATCAACAACCACGCTAACAACCACAACATCAACAATCACCACCAGCGAATACCACATTAAGAACCGCGTCAACTACCACACCAACAACCACAACAACTAACCACACTAACAAACCGCATAGAGCAACCGCATAGAGCGACCGCATAAACAGACGCGGCGCGGTACCTTGTCGCAGAAGACCTTGATCTGGCACGAGGCGCGGTGGATGGGCTTGTTGCTGCGATTGCTGTAGCTGTAGGTGTCGATCTGCAGGCTCAGCGGCAGGCCCTTGACGCCCTTTTGCGACGAGAAGTCCGTGCTCAGACAGTTGACCGCCACGAAGATCTGTGCAGGGGAGCGGGCACACGGCAACGCACACCACAAGTCAGTGGCAAGTCACGCCGCTCCTTGCCGGCGGGCCTCACAATGGCCGTGCCGGAGACGCCAAAGGTGGCAGCACCGGCGTCTCCTTTGGTTCAACGACCCACGTTTGAATTTTTAATTAAAGCTTTCGTGACTGCGGGGATTCATATTCTTGGTTCTTTCGGTAAAGTCACCATGTAGAAGGGAAACAATAAAATAATAAAAATATAAAACAATACAATTCTCACGACGTTTCGACTGCAACACAAGCAATCATCATCAGGTGTGAAAACCACAACAAGAAAATTTGAAATTGTTTTATATTCTTATTATTTTATCGTTTCCCTTCTACGTGACTTTAGCGAAAGAACCAAGAATATGATCCACTACTCACTGGTTTTTTCGGTAAAGTCACGAATGTAGAAATATAATAAAATTATATTAAAACAAAAAACAATCACGACGTTTCGATCACAACGCAAGCGATCTTCATCAGGTGTCAAGAACAAGTCACGGAGGTAAATACAACAAAAAGATGAGAGAAAAGAATTCAACAAACCTGAAAAAACATATGACCCACGTTTGTTTTAGGGTTAGGTCGAGGGGTGGGGTGGAGGGGGTTGGCAACCAAAATAACAAGAAGAGTAATTTTTGATTCTCGAATTTGGTAAAAAAAATATTTCAAGAGCCGCAATGCATGTGAATACGAGGCAGTGGTCCTTAATAAACAACGTCACGATGCAGGCCTCAAAGAGTCGCATGTTGCTCCAGAGCTGCAGGTTACCAACCCCTAGGTGAGGCCAACATTGGCGGTAGTTTTTATGCCCAAATGTCCTTTAATATCCCCCAATCATCCGACAAAGATTATCACGGTTACACAGATATGATTTACACACGCACCCAAGGATCGATCATATTCTGAACAATGAAGCACCCTCCTCAACGGTGGCTTTCAAGACTTTGCGTGACTGAATTCAACTTCCTACGTTTTAAAAAAAAAACCTGCTTTTTAATCTAATCTAATGTATAGAGCGCCTTCACTCACGATGCGTGATATAGCTTCCAAAACGATGACAAAATAGAATGATGCAGGTAACAGGCGTGTACACGGACTGAGGAATGAATAACAATGAGGAATGAAAGGGCGATAGGGGAGGGGCGAGGGAAGGGAAGAGAATGTGTCAACTGTGCTTCAAGTCATGTGGTGTGTTTATGTAATGAAGAGTTGCACAATGGCCCTAATCAGAGACACTGCGCTGGCCCCACTAAAATCCTGGGTTCAAGATCCTGGGTTTGGGTCTCTGCCTATGTATGCTGAACTTCCTTCGCAACGTACGTGGCCAAGCGTGCAAATCAATCGGAAAGGTTCATAATGGCCGTGTCAGAGATATCTGAGCCAGCATTGGTGAGATGGCGGTTTAAGCCCTGGTGATACGTGCGTGTGTTTATGTCCATTCTGAGCCATAAAGGTCAAGTCACATCACTCCACAGATACTATCCACAATGATGATATATACCCACAAATTTAACTACATCAAGCAGCCTCACAAAACGCAAGTCCTTGGAGAGAAACAAGAACTGTGAATGGGAATTCTAAAAGGAGACACAATGTAATTGGCGATTGGTGAATGTAAGTGATGATGGCCAATGCGACTGGTATTGTCTAAACATCCCAATATATGACAAATAAACCTGCAAATTACTCAATTGGGGTTATATGCAGAAAGTTTAACCCGAAACACTAGCAACTTGGCAGGACCCTGCTGAAAAGCGCTATTGAGGCTCTAATCTAATAGATAGGTTTACCTTCACGTAGCAGCGATCGTAATAGAAATACACTCGAACGGTATAACAAAGGACATTCAGTCACCGCACGCGCAAAGAGGGTTGTTAGCGAGCACCTATTAAGGCTGCAAGGCGCAAGCACGTGGCGTTCGTGCTGTCAGAGGCCTGCCACGAGGGGGCGCCTCAGGTGAACATTTCCGACAGCAGGTGAACGCCGGGCCAGACATCGCAAGCAGGGACCGACCCCTCCTCGCTGGACGCGTGTCTTTAGACTGAGCGTGCCACACTCCTCAGTGAGCGAAGTCAGTGGTCGTATTGTCGTCGTTTCATTACCGCGCCTACTCTAACAAAACAACTCGACACGTTCGTCAATAACATCGTGGCTTCTAGCATAGGAAAAACGATATGATAGGTGACGTTTCGGGCAATGGCCCTTTTGCACAGCAGAGTTCGTGTGCGCCCTGCCATTTTTTTTCTGTTTATTTTACAAACGCTGCCGATAGAATTTGTTTTTGTTTTTTTTTACAATTAAAGCCAGCTGTAAAGCATTTTAGATGAATAAGCGTCTCAAGTGGCTTCCGCAGATTTCTATCTGCCCTTGCAATTACCTGGGGAGCCCCGCGGGCAGGTATCCCATCGTGCTTTGCATGGGGAAGGTGATGGGGGTGGAGGGGGCGAGACTGATGATGGGGAAGGTGATGGGAGGATGAGTAGTGACTAGAGGGAGTGGTTTTTTTAAAGAGTGGAAACCGCACAAAGATAAAGACAAAGATCCCCCGCATAGCCTTTAACATATTCTTGGGGCAAGTGCTGTTAGCGAACACCTATTAAGAACACACGCACGCACACACCCCCTGATCGGCTGTCTCATCCTAAGCAAATTAAAATACAACCAAAGTTGCAGGTGGGAGTCATTGTGTGCTTGTGTCTTAGTGTGTGTGCTGGTGAATAGATTTGTGTGTGTGCGTGCGTTTTGGTGAGTCGACACGTGTGTCGGTAAGCAGATGTGTGTGTTGGTGAGTGGACGTGTGTGTGTGTGTTGGTGAGTGGACGTGTGTGTGTGTGTTGGTGAGTGGACGTGTGTGTGTTGGTGAGTGGACGTGTGTGTGTTGGTGAGTGGACGTGTGTGTGTGTGTGTGTTGGTGAGTGGACGTGTGTATGTGTATGAATGCTTGTGTGCGTGTGTATGTATCTATACTGGGCACGGTCCCATCGGTGAGCTCCTCCGGCAGGCAAGGCTGCGTTGGCTGGGTCATGTAGCCCGCATGCCCAGCCACCGCATGTCGAAACAGCTTTTGTTCGGCCGGATCGAGGGGGCGAAACGGGCGCGGCACGGGCTAGAGAAGAGATGGAGTGATGTGGTACAGGAGGACGTGGAGCTGAGTGGACTTGCCGATGACTGGTACCAGCGGTGTCAAGATCGGCCTCTGTGGAGGAGGCTCGTGAAGGATGCTACTGGGCAGTTGGAGGTAGTCGCCCTCCAACAACAACGGAGGGCGGAGGAGCGGCGCTCACAACAACGAGCGGAGCGCCGGGTGGCTAAAACACAGCAGGTTGGCACAGTAGGGGACACAGGTGGTGCATCAGCCAGTCATCTCAGTCAGTCGACCCGTGGCACCTGGGTCTGCCCCGTGACCTCCTGCCAGCGGGCGTTCGACACTTCACGTGGCCTCAAGGTGCACATGGCCTGGCACAAGCGTCGTGGTGACGTCACCGCCACTTAGTGACGAATGGCGGTTGTTGTTGTTGTATCTATACTGTGGGGAGCGGTCCTGTAGCGGTTAGCGCGCTGCGCTACGAACCTGATGACCCGGGTTCGATTCCCGCTCACGGTCAACACCTGTGACGATTATCTGAACCAATCCTGGGCCTCACCTAGGTCGACTCAGCCTCAAATTAGTACTTGGTGCGATGTGTAAACATGGCCACTGGGGAGACAAAGGCGGCCGGGCGTGGTGTTGGCCACCCACCCCCTCGTGTGCCGTGCCGGCCTTTATGGGTGCTCGCTAACAACACTTGCCCCCACAGTTTGTTAAGGCTATACGGGGGGGCCTTTGTCTTGTGTATCTATACATGTGCGTGCATACATGTGTATGTACCATTCTGGCGAATTGCCCGATGATGCTGGAAGTATTTACCAGCGAAACGTCGTACTCAAACTGTAAATGTGGATTAACTCTTCAACACACCGGTGGGCTGAAGTAGTGAATTATTTGTCTTTTGTCAACGTGACACTTTTTTTGCTGATTGGCCGTGTCGGGTGGTGGAGGGTTACGACACATTTATAAATAAACGCGATCTAACCCAAAAACCTTTATTATGAATACATGTGTATGATCGGACATATATGCGTGTGTGTGTGTGTCCGAGTATGAATACGTGTGTGTGTCTATCTATGTGTGTGTGTTTATCTATGTGTGTGTGTCTGTGTGTATATCTATGTGTCTATGTGTGTGTGTCTATGTGTGCGTGTATCTATGTGTGTGTGTGTCTAGTGTGTGTGTCTATGTGTGTGTATCTAGTGCGGCAAAACAACCCCCTACCTCCTCGCGGTGCCGGACGGGCAACTCTGTCGTGGACAGTGCTGTGGGGGGAGATCCAATTTTGATTGGCTCCTCCCCTCATGGCATATGTGTCCACCACAGGGGCTAAACGGGGGCTCTGGACGGGTGTGAGGGGCTGGTAACTTCTCCACCTTCAATTAATTACCACGAAACCACGAATTAAACATGTAACTAATAAGCTTGTGCCGGTGGCCCCGAGGGGACAGGCGTCTATGACGTCTCCTGGCCAAACCCCAATTGGGGGTTGAATCTCTACCCTCGGGGCTCCTCCAGAAACAACAAAAAGCCACTTCGTGTGGCCACGTGGAATGTTCGAGCGCTCACTGCAGAGGAGAGGCTGCCACTCCTCTGTTGGGAGCTGGACCGGTACTGCCTGGATCTCTGTGGCATTCAGGAGGTCTGGTGGACCGGCTCTGGCTCCTGCCACCATGAGGGGTGGAAAGTCCTCTACTCGGGGCAGCAGACTGCCAAACAACAGGGTGTGGCTCTTCTTTTGAACAAACGAATCGGACACTCCACCCCCACAACTAGATTTTTGTGCAGCCCATGGGCTTGTAATTACCAACACGCTGTTCCGGCATCGGCGCATCCACACAACATCATGGATGCATGCCGGGTCCAAGCAAGAACATC